TGGTCGACGCCATGGTCTCTCTCCTCATTCATAAACATATCAACGTCTTGTTTGTCCACCATCTTGATTTCTTGAGTTCTTCTTCCAGCTCGATAATCTCCTTCTAGGTGTTCCTCTCTTCCTCCCTCCATCTCTCCTTCTCTTCCTTCCTACCTTCTTCCTACTCCGTCCGTCTCTCCCTTCCCCTACCATCCTCTTCTGAACTATACATCGGATTTATCAGTCTTTCCCTTACCATTCTCTCAATATGCCAGTAACACCACAACAAACTCCTGTTGTCATATCTCTGCCAGACACTTCCTTCACTCTCACATCTCTTCCTTAGTTCTATTTTTCTTGTTTTATTTGTTCTATTACCCAACATATGATTCTTAAGTTCTTTATTTTTCCTTCTAATTTACTTGTTACTCTTTCATTCAGGGTCCAGCTTGACACATATCACTACGTGTAACTAAAGTAGAGAAATACGTGTTGCTTTCTCACACTGCAAGACGTAGCTTGAGTGACCGAACTTATTGATGATGTAGTGAGGAGGAATCATGGGAATTCTTGACCATGGAAGCCTAAACAGGTGTGTACATACGCTAAAGGAGTAATTAGTTTAAAGTTGACTCTTAATTTGGTTTTATTTATCTAGGTGAGAAACTTTTCCTCCAGGGTGATAATTTAGTGTCTATTGGGGCCTATGGTGGTGTGGTCTGCACTAATGTGAGTATGGCCGCGCTCTACATCACAGTTCATTGTTAACCAGTTCTTGAGGTAAGGTGTTCTCCCTCACCCACCAGGAGGGGAGGGGATACGTGCCTAGCGGTTGGTCATGTGGGAAATGGAGAATGATGATTTTAACTCCTAACTCTAAGAAAAATAGAAAATGCCAGGGAGTTGAGGGAGGGAGGGAGGGAAAATACATGTACAAATAAAACTAAGTATTATTGTTTTTATTTCCTTCTTGTTCACATGAAATCTTCGAGTGGAATTTAGGTACAGTACAATTGATAGATATGAACTGTATTGTACTATTAATAACGAGTTACGATTTTTTTAATCCATGTTTTATAACCAAACAATCCTATCATTACATCTTGTTAATATTCATTTGAATCATATTTGATGTTTTGATGAAGATGACAGCTACTGCAGGTACAATACTAGATCTTCAGAATTATTGTAAATCTGAAAGAAATCTATTGTTTAAGTCATGATAAGAATAGGATAAAAACACATTGCATAATAATATTATTTATTATTTTTTTAGATTATATTTGTCATAAGAAAATATAATAAGCATCTTGAAGCAACAAATAAAGGTTGTCAACTACACTTTGTAATTATATATAATAAACAAAATATTGATTAATCTCGAGTAAAGATTTAGTTGAACTCTTAACAAGTAACAAGTTAATTTTTGGAAAACATTTTAAGCTCCCTGACCACACCTCAATATAACAATACTTTAGAACATACAGCAGATAATGAAGTAATTTAATTAACTTGAAACCACGACCGAGTTATTTATTATACAGAAAAAATACTGTTAACTGAATCACAAAGATTTATACAAGATTTCCTGGATTATTTTTTAGAACACCGCAATTAATAATTTAGAAAAAGACGCTCATGTCCACAGGTGCAACATAAGTTGTAAATGTATTATAACTTTATATAAGTACATAAGTGTATTAAGTTGTAGATAAAAGAGTGAGAACTAGAGCAAGCATGTACAGTATATAGTTACTAGGTACAGCATACTATGGTCCTGACCCTGCCATGTCAGGCTCAGCTGGTTAGCTTAGTCGTTTTAGCTGCCTCTTAAGGAAGGTAAAGCTGACATCTCTCACATATATTAATTCCTGGAAGTAGTGAAAGACACAGACAAATGTCCTCTAACTGCAGCTTCGGTGTATGATAACAAAAAGTTTGTAAGAGTTGAGACAGATGTGGGAGGCAACACTTAGAAGGCGGGCGTCTGGTACAGGCCGGAGGGAGAGGCTGGCGCCGGTATGCTCAACCCGTTCCCGTTGACTCCGTTGCCGTTGGTGTATCCATTACCGTTGCCGTTGATGAGACCATTACCGTTGCCATTGAAAAGTCCATTACCGTTCCCATTGATAATACCATTACCGTTGCCATTGGCGTATCCGTTACCGTTTCCATTACCGTTGGTGTATCCGTTTCCATTTCCGTTGATTCCGTTACCGTTAGTATATCCATTACCGTTGCCGTTGATAAGACCATTACCATTTCCATTTACGTTGCCATTAATTCCATTACCGTTGCCATTTGCATAACCGTTGCCATTGCCGTTGATGAGACCATTTCCATTTACTGCACCGTTGGCATATCCATTGCCATTGCCGTTTCCATTAGCATAACCGTTGCCATTACCATTGATGAGTCCATTTCCATTTACTGCACCATTGGCGTATCCATTGCCATTACCGTTGCCATTAGCATAACCATTGCCATTAGCGTATCCGTTTCCATTACCATTGACGACACCATTTCCATTTACTGCACCATTGACGTATCCGTTACCATTACCGTTGCCATTAGCATAACCGTTGCCATTGCCATTGATGAGTCCATTTCCATTTACTGCACCATTGACGTATCCATTGCCATTACCGTTGCCATTAGCGTATCCGTTTCCATTACCATTGACGACACCATTTCCATTTACTGCACCATTGACGTATCCGTTACCATTACCGTTGCCATTAGCATAACCGTTGCCATTGCCATTGATGAGTCCATTTCCATTTACTCCACCATTGACGTATCCATTGCCATTACCGTTGCCATTAGCATAACCATTGCCATTAGCGTATCCGTTTCCATTACCGTTGACGACACCATTTCCGTTTACTGCACCATTGCCATTTGCTCCGTTACCGTAAATCCCGTTACCGTTAATAATGCCATTGACGATGCCGTTGGAGTATCCGTTGCCATTACCGTTGACCACTCCGATCTGAGCGTTGAGACTGTAGAACTGCGGGGCGGTGGAACAGTCAAAGTTGTACCACCAGTCACACACGAAGAACTGTTGGTTGAAGATGGTGCCGTTGGGACACAGGAAGGAGTCGCTCCTGCCATCTGCCTGACAGATGTGAAACACCTGTCGAGGACAACATTATCAATTAACCTGAAGATAAGCAACATCTACTTTAAACAACATTATTATGGAAACAGATAAATGCTTCAAGTTCTATTATCAAAAATCTTAAGGAATAAAGGAATATATCTTCTTTATACAGCAGGAGACGTAACAACTAAACCTTCATAAAATTCAGAATGTATTAGTTTATATGACATAAGACTCAGCTGACAGCCGGCCTCGGGGCAGTATAAAACCCAGCTGACAGCCGGCCTCGGGGGCAGTATAAGACTCAGCTGACAGCCGGCCTCGGGGGCAGTAAAAGACTCACCTGACAGCCGGCCTCGAGGGCAGTATCAGCGTAGTATCCGGGTATTAGTCCGCCGCAGGAGAATCCAGTGAAGGGGACAGAAGCCAGGATGGGATAGTCCACGCCGGGGACGCCACCACCTCCAATAGCATCTGCAAGGGCGCTGATGGGGCCCACGATGCCGTTGTAGTATCCGTTCCCGTTAACAGCGCCGTTGCCGTTGACTAAACCATTACCATTTCCATTGGCATATCCGTTCCCATTAACAGCACCATTGCCGTTGACTAAACCATTACCATTTCCATTGGTATATCCGTTCCCGTTAACACCACCGTTGCCGTTGACAAAACCATTACCATTTCCATTGGCATATCCGTTTCCGTTAACAACACCGTTGCCGTTGACAATAAGTCCATTACCGTTGCCATAACCACCATTGGTGTATCCGTTACCATTTCCGTTGATTACTCCGTTTCCATTGCCGTTTGTATATACTCCGTTACCATTTCCGCCATTTACATATCCATTACCATTTCCATTACCGTTTACAATCACACCATTTCCATTTAAACCATTGGCGTATCCGTTACCATTTCCATTGACTAACCCATTTCCGTTGCCATTTCCATTAATTCCATTATTATAACCTCCATTACCGTTACCATTACCGTTGCCACCATTGAAGCCGTTCGTTGGAGTTAAATAATTTAGGTTGACCGCCCAGGATGACGCAACTAGCGAGGCTGAGAAAATAAAGAAAGTAAAACTTATTGTAAATTACGACAAAAATTACATAGATGTTAATGGAAGGAAAATTCTTATACGTGATAATTGAGCTTTTAGTTTACGTTTGTGTTCAGTAATGAATAAGAGAGAGAGTTAGTCTTCTGAGATACATTAGAAACTTAATGAAAAAGGTCATTACATATACGAGTTACATAGTTCTCTTACCGATAAATATAAGATGTTTTGTGACCTTCATCTTCAGGAGATGTTTGTTGTGAAAGTCTTAATATGAGTTGTGACTCTGAGTGAGGTGTTGTTGTTGAGTCAAGTGTTGAGTGTGAGTCTCGAGGAGGAGGTGAGGTGAGGAGGAAGACCAGAGCGAGAGTTGTGATGCTGGGTCCAATTGGCGCCGCTTTATATACATGGTCGGGGGGCAGACACTCCGGGGGGCTCAAGGTCGCTAGATGGTGAGAGGAACTGTATTGGATGACCTGCTTGGCTTATATTAAGTAGAACACTGCTGGTTGGGTCATAGACCTTGGCACTACCATATTTTGTTAAAGCCTGAAATGTTATGGAACAGGTAAATTTAGAGAGAAACTTATGTAAAAGCTCATATATAAATTTAATGAAAAAAATGAAAAAGTTATTATACATTACGGTGTCTTTAGTTTTAATTGATTCCTTTAAAATTCTGAATTACCTTCATACTGTTGATATATACAGACGAATCAGCAAACGTTCACTCAGTATGGGAATTCCTCTTACTGAACTAATGGGTAAATATAAACAGAATTTATCATCAACTGAGACTTTTTTAATGATGAATACCTTTATGATAAGTTTTCCCTCAGGTGTTAAAGTATTTATTTATCGTTGTTTGATGTACAGACGAGATAGGACAGTAGTTTGTGTTGGCAACAGTGGTGATGGGAGGACAAGAGGTGGTGGAGGGAGTGGCTGTGGTATAAGGCTGGACTGTGGTATAAAGTAGGGCTGTGGTATAAGGCTAGACTGTGGTATAAGGCTGGAATGTAGTATACGGCTGGACTGTGGTATAAGGCTGGACTGTGGTATAAGGCTGGACTGTGGTATAAGGCTGGACTGTGGTATAATGTAGGACTGTGGTATAAGGCTGGATTGCGGTATAAGGCTGGACTGTGGTATAATGTAGGACTGTGGTATGAGGCTGGATTGTGGTATAAGGCTGGACTGTGGTATAAGGCTGGACTGTGGTATAAGGCTGGACTGTGGTATAAGGCTGGGCTGTGGTATAAGGCTGGACTGTGGTATAATTTAGGACTGTGGTATAAGGCTGGATTGTGGTATAAGGCTGGACTGTGGTATAAGGCTGGACTGTGGTATAAGGCCGGACTGTGGTATAAGGCTGGACTGTGGTATAAGGCTGGGCAGTGGTATAAAACTGGACTCTTTAATATTAATTAAAATGAAAGTAAATTTGTAACCGATGAGAAAATTCTTCCCTTGTTTGAAAAAAGGTGAAGGAACTTATGATATTTGACAGTTGTTGTTTACAGAAGGTGAGACATTGAGTTATGAAAGCAACTCACGTGACCTGGTGAGGAACTCTGACTTTCACTGACGAGATTAAACTTTTCATAATAGATCTTTCGTTTATGAATATATCTCGTCCTATCTACAGGTTAGGTTAGGTTAGGTTAGGTAAAAGTAGTGAGATATAAGGAGAATTTATGTTATTGTCTCGGTATTGTCTTTATCGTCGATGTAAACAATATTGAGTTTCTGTTTTTTTTTCAACTGAATGAAAGTTTTTTTTTTGTCTTTCTGTAATAATATCACCTAATTAGCTTATTAAATTTCGTCAAGATCCACCAAAATTAATTAAAACATAAGTTCTTTTGTTTTTACTTTTATTCTTGTTCTTTAGTAAATCTCATCAAATTCGAGTATATTTATTTTCCTTTTGAGACTTTTAATATAATTTCTAGTAAATTTTATGAAAAAACTATTATGATACCTTATAATTATTGTAACATAAACATGATCCTTGTTTGTAAAGTTATGTACCAAGTTGATCAACTATTTTTCCCGTGTTGTGGTTCATCTGCCTCCATACAACACTTCACATTCCTTCATTATACTTTAATTGTTAGGTTGTTTCGTCAGGTTTGTTCATACTAACACTATCATTCAGGAAACATCTCACTTGTACAGTACAGTATAAAGTCCTGTCGCCTCTCCTGCTGCTTCATGAATCCAGTAAATCAGACTCGTGAATCCAAAGAATCCGTGGACACAATAATGCATAAATGTCTACTGCTTCGGGTTCACGAGTCTGAATCTCAGGGTTAGTGAAGCAGCAGGAGAGACGACAGGAGTTTTGACCGTGGCTGCACAGTACTATCGTGGACAAAAGTTTGCTCCTTCCCAAACTGAAGCAGCATCGACCCTCACAGCACACCAGCACCAGATAACAATGAGGGTAAGTCAGTTCGGCGACTCATTCCCGTGTCTCAGTTTCACTACAGGGAGCGAACTTTTGTCCACGATAGTACATGTTCCAAAAATACTCATTCCCACTTCGATACAGATTCAATGAACGAATACGAAACACGAATCGAGGGTCAAATATATAAGCGAGTCAGTAATTCTCTCCTTTACTAATTTCTTTACATTCCTCTAATACCAATTCCACACAAACACACACATATTCACTTCTTTTCTGGCCATCATTTGAACAATCTATAAAGTTCCATTGAAATCCTATGCTTAGGGTTCACAATACCCTGTTCACACACACACACACAGAGGAAGTAAAGCAATCATCCCTACATGGGGTGAGAAGACAAGGTTCAATAGCTGTCAGCCAGGATTGTCGACTGTGTATTGAAAAGTTTTGTGTTGGCAGTTTCATAAGTAAGCCTTAATATATTTCAATAATTGAGGGAACAAAGATATAAAACTAAGAGTATATTAGAACTATTTTTCATTCATTTAAAACTACTTTCACTACATCACAGAATTGCCAGAAACAAACAAACTTTCTCTTCATTCGTTATCATTCATTCACTCTTTCTGCTACAACAGATAGGTTCTGCTGTAGTGTTCTCCTCTCATAACAAGACCTCAAGGTATCTGTTTGGTTTATTCTGTCTTTCCATATAACTTGGGATCACCCGTCAGTAACACCGTCGGCCACAACAACTGGTCGACGCCATGGTCTCTCTCCTCATTCATAAACATATCAACGTCTTGTTTGTCCACCATCTTGATTTCTTGAGTTCTTCTTCCAGCTCGATAATCTCCTTCTAGGTGTTCCTCTCTTCCTCCCTCCATCTCTCCTTCTCTTCCTTCCTACCTTCTTCCTACTCCGTCCGTCTCTCCCTTCCCCTACCATCCTCCTCTGAACTATACATCGGATTTATCAGTCTTTCCCTTACCATTCTCTCAATATGCCAGTAACACCACAACAAACTCCTGTTGTCATATCTCTGCCAGACACTTCCTTCACTCTCACATCTCTTCCTTAGTTCTATTTTTCTTATTTTATTTGTTCTATTACCCAACATATGATTCTTAAGTTCTTTATTTTTCCTTCTAATTTACTTGTTACTCTTTCATTCAGGGTCCAGCTTGACACATATCACTACGTGTAACTAAAGTAGAGAAATACGTGTTGCTTTCTCACACTGCAAGACGTAGCTTGAGTGACCGAACTTAGTGATGATCTAGTGAGGAGGAATCATGGGAATTCTTGACCATGGAAGCCTAAGCAGGTGTGTACATACGCTGAAGAAGTAATTAGTTTAAAGTTGACTCTTAATTTGGTTTTATGTATCGAGGTGAGAAAGTTTTTCTCCAGGGTGATAATTTATTGTCAACCAGTTCTTGAGGTAAGGTGTTCTCCCTCAACCCACCAAGATGGGAGGGGATACGTGCCTAACTGTAAGGTCATGAGGGAAATGGAGAATGATGATTTTAACTCCTAACTCTTAGAAAAATACAAAATGCCAGGGAGTTGAGGGAGGGAGGGAAAATACATGTACATATACAACTAAAAAATATTGTTTTTATTTCCTTCTTGTTCACTTGGTTCTGTACATGAAATCTTCGAGTGGTATTTGGGTACAATTGATAGATATGAACTGTATTGTACTACTAATAACGAGTTTCCATTTATTTTTAATCCATGTTTTATAACCAAACAATCCTATCATTACACCTTGTTAATCTTCATGTGAATCATATTTGATGTTTTAATGAAGATGACAGCTACTGCAGGTACAATACTAGATCTTCAGAATTATTGTAAATCTGAAAGAAATCTATTGTTTAAGTCGTGATAAGAATAGGATAAAAACACATTGCATAATAATATTATTTATTATTTTTTTAGATTATATTTGTCATAAGAAAATATAATAAGCATCTTGAAGCAACAAATAAAGGTTGTCAACTACACTTTGTAATTATATATAATAAACAAAATATTGATTAATCTCGAGTAAAGATTTAGTTGAACTCTTAACAAGTAACAAGTTAATTTTTGGAAAACATTTTAAGCTCCCTGACCACACCTCAATATAACAATACTTTAGAACATACAGCAGATAATGAAGTAATTTAATTAACTTGAAACCACGACCGAGTTATTTATTATACAGAAAAAATACTGTTAACTGAATCACAAAGATTTATACAAGATTTCCTGGATTATTTTTTAGAACACCGCAATTAATAATTTAGAAAAAGACGCTCATGTTCACAGGTGCAACATAAGTTGTAAATGTATTATAACTTTATATAAGTACATAAGTGTATTAAGTTGTAGATAAAAGAGTGAGAACTAGAGCAAGCATGTACAGTATATAGTTACTAGGTACAGCATACTATGGTCCTGACCCTGCCATGTCAGGCTCAGCTGGTTAGCTTAGTCGTTTTAGCTGCCTCTTAAGGAAGGTAAAGCTGACATCTCTCACATATATTAATTCCTGGAAAGGAGTGAAAGACACAGACAAATGTCCTCTAACTGCAGCTTCGGTGTATGATAACAAAAAGTTTGTAAGAGTTGAGACAGATGTGGGAGGCAACACTTAGAAGGCGGGCGTCTGGTACAGGCCGGAGGGAGAGGCTGGCGCCGGTATGCTCAACCCGTTCCCGTTGACTCCGTTACCATTGGTGTATCCATTACCGTTGCCGTTGATAAGACCATTACCGTTGCCATTGAAAAGTCCATTACCGTTTCCATTGATAATACCATTACCGTTGCCATTGGCGTATCCATTACCGTTTCCATTACCGTTGGTGTATCCGTTTCCATTTCCGTTGATTCCGTTCCCGTTAGTATATCCATTACCGTTGCCGTTGATAAGACCATTACCATTTCCGTTGCCATTAATTCCATTACCGTTGCCATTTACATAACCGTTGCCATTGCCGTTGATGAGACCATTTCCATTTACTGCACCGTTGGTTACCGTTTCCATTAGCATAACCATTGCCATTGCGTATCCGTATACCGTTACTCCGTATCGTTACCATTCCGTTGATTCCGTTTCCGTATCCATTACCGTTGCCGTTGATAAGACCATTACCAGTTGTATCCATTACCGTTGCCGTTATAAGACCATTACCATTGCCGTTGATAAGACCATTACCATTACCGTTGCCATTTGCATAACCGTTGCCATTGCCGTTGATGAGACCATTTCCATTTACTGCACCGTTGGCATATCCATTGCCATTGCCGTTTCCATTTGCATAACCGTTGCCATTGCCATTGATGAGTCCATTTCCATTTACTGCACCATTGACGTATCCATTGCCATTACCGTTGCCATTAGCATAACCATTGCCATTAGCATATCCGTTTCCATTACCATTGACGACACCATTTCCATTTACTGCACCATTGACGTATCCGTTACCATTACCGTTGCCATTAGCATAACCGTTGCCATTGCCATTGATGAGTCCATTTCCATTTACTGCACCATTGACGTATCCATTGCCATTACCGTTGCCATTAGCATAACCATTGCCATTAGCGTATCCGTTTCCATTACCGTTGACGACACCATTTCCGTTTACTGCACCATTGCCATTTGCTCCGTTACCGTAAATCCCGTTACCGTTAATAATGCCATTGACGATGCCGTTGGAGTATCCGTTGCCATTACCGTTGACCACTCCGATCTGAGCGTTGAGACTGTAGAACTGCGGGGCGGTGGAACAGTCAAAGTTGTACCACCAGTCACACACGAAGAACTGTTGGTTGAAGATGGTGCCGTTGGGACACAGGAAGGAGTCGCTCCTGCCATCTGCCTGACAGATGTGAAACACCTGTCGAGGACAACATTATCAATTAACCTGAAGATAAGCAACATCTACTTTAAACAACATTATTATGGAAACAGATAAATGCTTCAAGTTCTATTATCAAAAATCTTAAGGAATAAAGGAATATATCTTCTTTATACAGCAGGAGACGTAACAACTAAACCTTCATAAAATTCAGAATGTATTAGTTTATATGACATAAGACTCAGCTGACAGCCGGCCTCGGGGCTAAAACCCAGCTGACAGCCGGCCTCGGGGGCAGTATAAGACTCAGCTGACAGCCGGCCTCGGGGGCAGTAAAAGACTCACCTGACAGCCAAAAGACTCACCTGACAGCCGGCCTCGGGGCAGTATCAGCGTAGTATCCGGGTATTAGTCCGCCGCAGGAGAATCCAGTGAAGGGGACAGAAGCCAGGATGGGATAGTCCACGCCGGGGACGCCGCCACCTCCAATAGCATCTGCAAGGGCGCTGATGGGGTCCACGATGCCGTTGTAGTATCCGTTCCCGTTAACAGCGCCGTTGCCGTTGACTAAACCATTACCATTTCCATTGGCATATCCGTTCCCATTAACAGCACCATTGCCGTTGACAAATCCATTACCGTTTCCATTGGTATATCCGTTCCCGTTAACACCACCGTTGCCGTTGACAAAACCATTACCATTTCCATTGGCATATCCGTTTCCGTTAACAACACCGTTGCCGTTGACAATAAGTCCATTACCGTTGCCATAACCACCATTGGCGTATCCGTTACCATTTCCGTTGATTACTCCGTTTCCATTGCCGTTTGTATATACTCCGTTACCATTTCCGCCATTTACATATCCATTACCATTTCCATTACCGTTTACAATCACACCATTTCCATTTAAACCATTGGCGTATCCGTTACCATTTCCATTGACTAACCCATTTCCGTTGCCGTTTAGAATCACACCGTTGCCATTTCCATTAATTCCATTATTATAACCTCCATTACCGTTACCATTACCGTTGCCACCGTTGAAGCCGTTCGTTGGAGTTAAATAATTTAGGTTGACCGCCCAGGATGACGCAACTAGCGAGGCTGAGAAAATAAAGAAAGTAAAACTTATTGTAAATTACGACAAAAATTACATAGATGTTAATGGAAGGAAAATTCTTATACATGATAATTGAGTTTTTAGTTTACGTTTGTGTTCAGTAATGAATAAGAGAGAGAGTTAGTCTTCTGAGATACATTAGAAACTTAATGAAAAAGATCACTACATATACGAGTTACATAGTTCTCTTACCGATAAATATAAGATGTTTTGTGACCTTCATCTTCAGGAGATGTTTGTTGTGAAAGTCTTAATATGAGTTGTGACTCTGAATGAGTGTTGTTGTTGAGTCAAGTGTTGAGTGTGAGTCTCGAGGAGGAGGTGAGGTGAGGAGGAAGACCAGAGCGAGAGTTGTGATGCTGGGTCCAACTGGCGCCGCTTTATATGGTGGTCCGGGAGGCTCAAGGTCGCTAGATGGTGAGAGGAACTGTATTGGGTGACCTGCTTGGCTGATATTAAGTAGAACACTGCTGGTTGGGTCATAGACCTTGACACTACCATATTTTTTTTAAGCCTGACATGTTATGGAATAGGTAATTTTAGAGAGAAACTTATGTAAAAGCTCATGTACAAATTTAATGAAAAAAAAGAAAAAGTTATTATACATTAGGGTGTCTTTAGTATTAATTGATTCCTTTAAAATTCTGGATTACCTTCATACTGTTGATATATACAGAAGAATCAGCAACGTTCACTCAGTATGGGAATTCCTCTTATGCAATACTGAACTAATGGGTAAATATAAACAGAATTTATCATCAACTGAGACTTTTTTAGTGATGAAAACCTTTATGATAAGTTTTCCCTCAGGTGTTAAAGTATTTATTTATCGTTGGTTGATGTACAGACGAGATAGGACAGTAGTTTGTGTTGGCAACAGTGGTGATGGGAGGACACGAGGTGGTGGAGGGAGTGGCTGTGGTATAAGGCTGGACTCTGGTATAAAGTAGGGCTGTGGCATAAGGCTGGACTGTAGTATAAGGCTGGACTGTGATATAAGGCTGGACTGTGGTATAAGGCTGGGTTGTGGTATAAAACTGGACTCTTAAATTTTAATTAAAATGAAAGTAAATTTGTAACCGATGAGAAAATTCTTCCCTTGTTTGAAAAAAGGTGAAGGAACTTATGATATTTGACAGTTGTTGTTTACAGAAGGTGAGACATTGAGTTATGAAAGCAACTCACGTGACCTGGTGAGGAACTCTGACTTTCACTGACGAGATTAAACTTTTCATAATAGATCTTTGTTTATTAATATATCTCGTCCTATCTACAGAAGGTGAGACATTGAGTTATGAAAGCAACTCACGTGTCGAGTGAGGAACTCTGACTTTCACTGACGATGATTAAACTTTTCATAATAGATCTTTCGTTTATGAATATATCTCGTCCTATCTACAGGTTAGGTTAGGTTAGGTTAGGTAAAAGTAGTGAGATATAAGGAGAATTTATGTTATAGTCTCGGTATTGTCTTTATCGTCGATGTAAACAATATTGAGTTTCTGGTTTTTTTCAACTGAATGAAAGTTTTTTTTTTGTCTTTCTGTAACAATATCACCTAATTAGCTTATTAAATTTCGTCAAGATCCACCAAAATTAATTAAAACATAAGTTCTTTTGTCTTTACTTTTATTCTTGTTCTTTGTAAATCTCATCAAATTCGAGTATATTTATTTTCCTTTTGAGACTTTTAATATAATTTCTTGTAAATTTTATGAAAAAACTATTATGATACCTTATAATTATTGTAACGTAAACATGATCCTTGTTTGTAAAGTTATGTACCAAGTTGATCAACTATTTTTCCGGTGTTGTGGTTCATCTGCCTCCACAGAACACTTCACATTCCTTCATTATACTTTAATTGTTAGGTTGTTTCGTCAGGTTTGTTCATACTAACACTATCATTTAGGAAACATCTCACTTGTACAGTACAGTATAAAGTCCTGTCGCCTCTCCTGCTGCTTCATGAATCCAGCAATTCAGACTCGTGAATCCAAAGAATCCGTGGACACAATAATGCATCAATGTCTACTGCCTCGGGTTCGCGAGTCTGAATCTCAGGGTTAGTGAAGCAGCAGGAGAGACGACAGGACTTTTGACCGTGGCTGCACAGTACTATCGTGGACAAAGGTTTGCTCCTTCCCAAACTGAAGCAGTATCGACCCTCACAGCACACCAGCACCAGATAACAATGAGGGTAAGTCAGTTCGGAGACTCATTCCCGTGTCTCAGTTTCACTACAGGGAGCGAACTTTTGTCAACGATAGTACATGTTCCAAAAATACTCATTCCCACGTCGATACACATTCAATGAACGATTACGAAACACGAATCGAGGGTCAATTTATAAGCGAGTCAGTAATTCTCTCCTTTACGAATTTCTTTACATTCCTCTAATTCCGATTCCACACAAACACACACATATTCACTTCTTTTCTGGCCATCATTTGAACAATCTATAAAGTTCCATTGAAATCCTATGCTTAGGTTTCACAATACCCTGTTCACACACACACATAAACAGAGGAAGTAAAGCAATCATCCCTACATGGGGTGAGAAGACAAGGTTCAATAACTGTCAGCCAGGATTGTCGACTGTGTATTGAAAAGTTTTGTGTTGGCAGTTTCATAAGTAAGCCTTAATATATTTCAATAATTAAGGTAACAAAGATATAAAACTACGAGTATATTAGAACTATTTTTCATTCATTTAAAACTACTTTCACTACATCACAGAATTGCCGGAAACAAACAAACTTTCTCTTCATTCGTTATCATTCATTCACTCTTTTTGCTACAACAGATAGGTTCTGCTGTAGTGTTCTCCTCTCATAACAAGACCTCAAGGTATCTGTTTGGTTTATTCTGTCTTTCCATATAACTTGGGATCACCCGTCAGTAACACAGTCGGCCACAATAACTGGTCGACGCCATGGTCTCTCTCCTCATTCATAAACATATCAACGTCTTGTTTGTCCACCATCTTGATTTCTTGAGTTCTTCTTCCAGCTCGATAATCTCCTTCTAGGTGTTCCTCTCTTCCTCCCTCCATCTCTCCTTCTCTTCCTTCCTACCTTCTTCCTACTCCGTCCGTCTCTCCCTTCCCCTACCATCCTCTTCTGAACTATACATCGGATTTATCAGTCTTTCCCTTACCATTCTCTCAATATGCCAGTAACACCACAACAAACTCCTGTTGTCATATCTCTGCCAGACACTTCCTTCACTCTCACATCTCTTCCTTAGTTCTATTTTTCTTATTTTATTTGTTCTATTACCCAACATATGATTCTTAAGTTCTTATTTTTCCTTCTAATTTACTTGTTACTCTTTCATTCAGGGTCCAGCTTGACACATATCACTACGTGTAACTAAAGTAGAGAAATACGTGTTGCTTTCTCACACTGCAAGACGTAGCTTGAGTGACCGAACTTAGTGATGATCTAGTGAGGAGGAATCATGGGAATTCTTGACCATGGAAGCCTAAGCAGGTGTGTACATACGCTGAAGAAGTAATTAGTTTAAAGTTGACTCTTAATTTGGTTTTATGTATCGAGGTGAGAAAGTTTTTCTCCAGGGTGATTATTTAGTGTCTATTGGGGCCTATGGTGGTGTGGTCTGCACTAATGTGAGTATGGCCGCGCTCTACATCACAGTTCATTGTCAACCAGTTCTTGAGGTAAGGTGTTCTCCCTCAACCCACCAAGATGGGAGGGGATACGTGCCTAACTGTAAGGTCATGAGGGAAATGGAGAATGATGATTTTAACTCCTAACTCTTAGAAAAATACAAAATGCCAGGGAGTTGAGGGAGGGAGGGAGGGAAAATACATGTACATATACAACTAAAAAATATTGTTTTTATTTCCTTCTTGTTCACTTGTATCTCTACATGAAATCTTCGAGTGGTATTTGGGTATAATTGATAGATATGAACTGTATTGTACTACTAATAACGAGTTTCCATTTATTTTTAATCCATGTTTTATAACCAAACAATCCTATCATTACACCTTGTTAATCTTCATGTGAATCATATTTGATGTTTTAATGAAGATGACAGCTACTGCAGGTACAATACTAGATCTTCAGAATTATTGTAAATCTGAAAGAAATCTATTGTTTAAGTCGTGATAAGAATAGGATAAAAACACATTGCATAATAATATTATTTATTATTTTTTTAGATTATATTTGTCATAAGAAAATATAATAAGCATCTTGAAGCAACAAATAAAGGTTGTCAACTACACTTTGTAATTATATATAATAAACAAAATATTGATTAATCTCGAGTAAAGATTTAGTTGAACTCTTAACAAGTAACACGTTAATTTTTGGAAAACATTTTAAGCTCCCTGACCACACCTCAATATAACAATACTTTAGAACATACAGCAGATAATGAAGTAATTTAATTAACTTGAAACCACGACCGAGTTATTTATTATACAGAAAAAATACTGTTAACTGAATCACAAAGATTTATACAAGATTTCCTGGATTATTTTTTAGAACACCGCAATTAATAATTTAGAAAAAGACGCTCATGTCCACAGGTGCAACATAAGTTGTAGATGTATTATAACTTTATATAAGTACATAAGTTTATTAAGTTGCAGATAAAAGAGTGAGAACTAGAGCAAGCATGTACAGTACATAGTTACTAGGTACAGCATACTATGGTCCTGACCCTGCCATGTCAGGCTCAGCTGGTTAGCTTAGTCGTTTTAACTGCCTCTTAAGGAAGGTAAAGCTGACATCTCTCACATATATTAATTCCTGGAAGTAGTGAAAGACACAGACAAATGTCCTCTAACTGCAGCTTCGGTGTATGATAACAAAAAGTTTGTAAGAGTTGAGACAGATGTGGGAGGCAACACTTAGAAGGCGGGCGTCTGGTACAGGCCGGAGGGAGAGGCTGGCGCCGGTATGCTCAACCCGTTCCCGTTGACTCCGTTGCCGTTGGTGTATCCATTACCGTTGCCGTTGATGAGACCATTACCGTTGCCATTGAAAAGTCCATTACCGTTCCCATTGATAATACCATTACCGTTGCCATTGGCGTATCCGTTACCGTTTCCATTACCGTTGGTGTATCCGTTTCCATTTCCGTTGATTCCGTTACCGTTAGTGTATCCATTACCGTTGCCGTTGATAAGACCATTACCATTACCGTTGATAAGACCATTTCCATTTACGTTGCCATTAATTCCATTACCGTTGCCATTTGCATAACCGTTGCCATTGCCGTTGATGAGACCATTTCCATTTACTGCACCGTTGGCATATCCATTGCCATTGCCGTTTCCATTAGCATAACCGTTGCCATTACCATTGATGAGTCCATTTCCATTTACTGCACCATTGGCGTATCCATTGCCATTACCGTTGCCATTAGCATAACCATTGCCATTAGCATATCCGTTTCCATTACCATTGACGACACCATTTCCATTTACTGCACCATTGACGTATCCGTTACCATTACCGTTGCCATTAGCATAACCGTTGCCATTGCCATTGATGAGTCCATTTCCATTTACGCCACCATTGACGTATCCATTGCCATTACCGTTGCCATTAGCATAACCATTGCCATTAGCGTATCCGTTTCCATTACCGTTGACGACACCATTTCCGTTTACTGCACCATTGCCATTTGCTCCGTTACCGTAAATCCCGTTACCGTTAATAATGCCATTGACGATGCCGTTGGAGTATCCGTTGCCATTACCGTTGACCACTCCGATCTGAGCGTTGAGACTGTAGAACTGCGGGGCGGTGGAACAGTCAAAGTTGTACCACCAGTCACACACGAAGAACTGTTGGTTGAAGATGGTGCCGTTGGGACACAGGAAGGAGTCGCTCCTGCCATCTGCCTGACAGATGTGAAACACCTGTCGAGGACAACATTATCAATTAACCTGAAGATAAGCAACATCTACTTTAAACAACATTATTATGGAAACAGATAAATGCTTCAAGTTCTATTATCAAAAATCTTAAGGAATAAAGGAATATATCTTCTTTATACAGCAGGAGACGTAACATCTAAACCTTCATAAAATTCAGAATGTATTAGTTTATATGACATAAGACTCAGCTGACAGCCGGCCTCGGGGGCAGTATAAGACTCAGCTGACAGCCGGCCTCGGGGGCAGTAAAAGACTCACCTGACAGCCGGCCTCGGGGGCAGTATCAGCGTAGTATCCGGGTATTAGTCCGCCGCAGGAGAATCCAGTGAAGGGGACAGAAGCCAGGATGGGATAGTCCACGCCGGGGACGCCGCCACCTCCAATAGCATCAGCAAGGGCGCTGATGGGGTCCACGATGCCGTTGTAGTATCCGTTCCCGTTAACAGCGCCGTTGCCATTGACTAAACCATTACCATTTCCATTGGCATATCCGTTCCCATTAACAGCACCATTGCCGTTGACAAATCCATTACCGTTTCCATTGGTATATCCGTTCCCGTTAACACCACCGTTTCCGTTGACAAAACCATTACCATTGGCATATCCGTTTCCGTTAACAACACTGTTGCCGTTGACAATAAGTCCATTACCGTTGCCATAACCACCATTGGCGTATCCGTTACCATTTCCGTTGATTACTCCGTTTCCATTGCCGTTTGTATATACTCCGTTACCATTTCCGCCATTTACATATCCATTACCATTTCCATTACCGTTTACAATCACACCATTTCCATTTAAACCATTGGCGTATCCGTTACCATTTCCATTGACTAACCCATTTCCGTTGCCGTTTAGAATCACACCGTTGCCATTTCCATTAATTCCATTATTATAACCTCCATTACCGTTACCATTACCGTTGCCACCGTTGAAGCCGTTCGTTGGAGTTAAATAATTTAGGTTGACCGCCCAGGATGACGCAACTAGCGAGGCTGAGAAAATAAAGAAAATAAAACTTATTGTAAATTACGACAAAAATTACATAGATGTTAATGGAAGGAAAATTCTTATACATGATAATTGAGTTTTTAGTTTACGTTTGTGTTCAGTAATGAATAAGAGAGAGAGTTAGTCTTCTGAGATACATTAGAAACTTAATGAAAAAGATCATTACATATACGAGTTACATAGTTCTCTTACCGATAAATATAAGATGTTTTGTGACCTTCATCTTCAGGAGATGTTTGTTGTGAAAGTCTTAATATGAGTTGTGACTCTGAATGAGGTGTTGTTGTTGTTGAGTCAAGTGTTGAGTGTGAGTCTCGAGGAGGAGGTGAGGTGAGGAGGAAGACCAGAGCGAGAGTTGTGATGCTGGGTCCAACTGGCGCCGCTTTATATACATGGTCGGGGGGGCAGACACTCCGGGGGGCTCAAGGTCGCTAGATGGTGAGAGGAACTGTATTGGGTGACCTGCTTGGCTTATATTAAGTAGAACACTGCTGGTTGGGTCATAGACCTTGACACTACCATATTTTGTTAAAGCCTGACATGTTATTGAACAGGTAATTTTAGATAGAAACTTATGTAAAAGCTCATATATAAATTTAATGAAAAAAAAGAAAAAGTTATTATACATTAAGGTGTCTTTAGTATTAATTGATTCCTTTAAAATTCTGGATTACCTTCATACTGTTGATATATACAGACGAATCAGCAACGTTCACTCAGTACGGAAATTCCTCTTATGCAATACTGAACTAATGGGTAAATATAAACAGAATTTATCATCAACTGGGACTTTTTTAGTGATGAAAACCTTTATGATAAGTTTTCCCTCAGGTGTTAAAGTTTTTATTTATCGTTGTTTGATGTACAGACGAGATAGGACAGTAGTTTGTGTTGGCCACAGTGGTGATGGGAGGACAGGAGGTGGTGGAGGGAGTGGCTGTGGTATATGGCTGGACTGTGGTATAAGACTGGACTGTGGTATAAGGCTGGACTATAGTGTACGGCTGGACTGTGGTATAAGGCTGGACTGTGATATAAGGCTGGACTGTGGTATAAGGCTGGGCAGTGGTATAAAACTGGACTCTTCAATATTAATTAAAATGAAAGTAAATTTGTAACCGATGAGAAAATTCTTCCCTTGTTTGAAAAAAGGTTAAGGAACTTATGATATTTGACAGTTGTTGTTTACAGAAGGTGAGACATTGAGTTATGAAAGCAACTCACGTGACCTGGTGAGGAACTCTGACTTTCACTGACGAGATTAAACTTTTCATAATAGATCTTTCGTTTATGAATATATCTCGTCCTATCTACAGGTTAGGTTAGGTTAGGTTAGGTAAAAGTAGTGAGATATAAGGAGAATTTATGTTATAGTCTCGGTATTGTCTTTATCGTCGATGTAAACAATATTGAGTTTCTGGTTTTTTTTCAACTGAATGAAAGTTTTTTTTTTTGTCTTTCTGTAACAATATCACCTAATTAGCTTATTAAATTTCGTCAAGATCCACCAAAATTAATTAAAACATAAGTTCTTTGTCTTTACTTTTATTCTTGTTCTTTGTAAATCTCATCAAATTCGAGTATATTTATTTTCCTTTTGAGACTTTTAATATAATTTCTTGTAAATTTTATGAAAAAACTATTATGATACCTTATAATTATTGTAACGTAAACATGATCCTTGTTTGTAAAGTTATGTACCAAGTTGATCAACTATTTTCCGGTGTTGTGGTTCATCTGCCTCCACACAACACTTCACATTCCTTCATTATACTTTAATTGTTAGGTTGTTTCGTCAGGTTTGTTCATACTAACACTATCATTTAGGAAACATCTCACTTGTACAGTACAGTAGAAAGTCCTGTCGCCTCTCCTGCTGCTTCATGAATCCAGTAATTCAGACTCGTGAATCCAAAGAATCCGTGGACACAATAATGCATCAATGTCTACTGCTTCGGGTTCGCGAGTCTGAATCTCAGGGTTAGTGAAGCAGCAGGAGAGACGACAGGACTTTTGACCGTGGCTGCACAGTACTATCGTGGACAAAGGTTTGCTCCTTCCCAAACTGAAGCAGTATCGACCCTCACAGCACACCAGCACCAGATAACAATGAGGGTAAGTCAGTTCGGAGACTCATTCCCGTGTCTCAGTTTCACTACAGGGAGCGAACTTTTGTCAACGATAGTACATGTTCCAAAAATACTCATTCCCACTTCGATACAGATTCAATGAACGATTACGAAACACGAATCGAGGGTCAAATTTCTAAGCGAGTCAGTAATTCTCTCCTTTACTAATTTCTTTACATTCCTCTAATTCCGATTCCACACAAACACACACATATTCACTTCTTTTCTGGCCATCATTTGAACAATCTATAAAGTTCCATTGAAATCCTATGCTTAGGTTTCACAATACCCTGTTCACACACACACACACACACACACAGAGGAAGTAAAGCAATCATCCCTACATGGGGTGAGAAGACAAGGTTCAATAACTGTCAGCCAGGATTGTCGACTGTGTATTGAAAAGTTTTGTGTTGGCAGTTTCATAAGTAAGCCTTAATATATTTCAATAATTAAGGGAACAAAGATATAAAACTACGAGTATATTAGAACTATTTTTCATTCATTTAAGACTACTTTCACTACATCACAGAATTGCCGGAAACAAACAAACTTTCTCTTCATTCGTTATCATTCATTCACTCTTTCTGCTACAACAGATAGGTTCTGCTGTAGTGTTCTCCTCTCATAACAAGACCTCAAGGTATCTGTTTGGTTTATTCTGTCTTTCCATATAACTTGGGATCACACGACAGTAACACCGTCGGCCACAACAACTGGTCGACGCCATGGTCTCTCTCCTCATTCATAAACATATCAACGTCTTGTTTGTCCACCATCTTGATTTCTTGAGTTCTTCTTCCAGCTCGATAATCTCCTTCTAGGTGTTCCTCTCTTCCTCCCTCCATCTCTCCTTCTCCTCCTTCCTACCTTCTTCCTCCTCCGTCCGTCTCTCCCTTCCCCTACCATCCTCCTCTGAACTATACATCGGATTTATCAGTCTTTCCCTTACCATTCTCTCAATATGCCAGTAACACCACAACAAACTCCTGTTGTCATATCTCTGCCAGACACTTCCTTCACTCTCACATCTCTTCCTTAGTTCTATTTTTCTTATTTTATTTGTTCTATTACCCAACATATGATTCTTAAGTTCTTTATTTTTCCTTCTAATTTACTTGTTACTCTTTCATTCAGGGTCCAGCTTGACACATATCACTACGTGTAACTAAAGTAGAGAAATACGTGTTGCTTTCTCGCACTTAAGACGTAGCTTGAGTGACCGAACTTAGTGATGATCTAGTGAGGAGGAATCATGGGAATCCTTGACCATGGAAGCCTAAGCAGGTGTGTACATACGCTAAAGAAGTAATTAGTTTAAAGTTGACTCTTAATTTGGTTTTATGTATCGAGGTGAGAAAGTTTTTCTCCAGGGTGATAATTTAGTGTCTATTGGGGCCTATGGTGGTGTGGCCTGCACTAATGTGAGTATGGCCGCGCTCTACATCACAGTTCATTGTCAACCAGTTCTTGAGGTAAGGTGTTCTCCATCAACCCACCAAGATGGGAGGGGATACGTGCCTAACTATAAGGTCATGAAGGAAATGGAGAATGATGATTTTAACTCCGAACTCTTAGAAAAATACAAAATGCCAGGGAGTTGAGGGAGGGAGGGAGGAAAAATACATGTACATTGTACATATACAACTAAAAAATATTGGTTTTATTTCCTTCTTGTTCACTTGTTTCTGTACATGAAATCTTAGAGTGGTATTTGGGTACAATTGATAGATATGAACTGTATTGTACTATTAATAACGAGTTTCCATTTTTTTTAATCCATGTTGTATAACCAAACAATCCTATCATTACATCTTGTTAATATTCATGTGAATCATATTTGATGTTTTGATGAAGATGACAGCTACTGCAGGTACAATACTAGATCTTCAGAATTATTGTAAATCTGAAAGAATTCTATTGTTTAAGTCGTGATAAGAATAGGATATAAACACATTGTATAATAATATTATTTATTATTTTTTTAGATTATATTTGTCATAAGAAAATATAATAAGCATCTTGAAGCAACAAATAAAGGTTGTCAACTACACTTTGTAATTATAAATAATAAACAAAATATTGATTAATCTCGAGTAAAGATTTAGTTGAACTCTTAACAAGTAACAAGTTAATTTTTGGAAAACATTTTAAGCTCCCTGACCACACCTCAATATAACAATACTTTAGAACATACAGCAGATAATGAAGTAATTTAATTAACTTGAAACCACGGCCGAGTTATTTATTATACAGAAAAAATACTGTTAACTGAATCACAAAGATTTATACAAGATTTCCTGGATTATTTTTTGGAACACCGCAATTAATAATTTAGAAAAAGACGCTCATGTTCACAGGTGCAACATAAGTTGTAAATGTATAATAACTTTATATAAGTACATAAGTGTATTAAGTTGTAGATAAAAGAGTGAGAACTAGAGCAAGCATGTACAGTATATAGTTACTAGGTACAGCATACTATGGTCCTGACCCTGCCATGTCAGGCTCAGCTGGTTAGCTTAGTCGTTTTAGCTGCCTCTTAAGGAAGGTAAAGCTGACATCTCTCACATATATTAATTCCTGGAAGTAGTGAAAGACACAGACAAATGTCCTCTAACTGCAGCTTCGGTGTATGATAACAAAAAGTTTGTAAGAGTTGAGACAGACGTGGGAGGCAACACTTAGAAGGCGGGCGTCTGGTACAGGCCGGAGGGAGAGGCTGGCGCCGGTATGCTCAACCCGTTCCCGTTGACTCCGTTGCCGTTGGTGTATCCATTACCGTTGCCGTTGATGAGACCATTACCGTTGCCATTGAAAAGTCCATTACCGTTCCCATTGATAATACCA